AAGGAAGGAAGGAAGGAAGGAAGGAAGGAAGGAAGGAAGGAAGGAAGGAAGGAAGGAAGGGAGGAAGAAGAAAAGATCCACTTACAATTTAGTCCCTTGCTAATTCACAGGCCTCTTTATCAGCCTCAGGATAAATTTCTCAGGTAAGGATCAGTTCTCATTCACAGTTCTCTGCCCAGCACATACCTAATCTATATAGCTCTATCTCTTACTTCACTGATATTTGTACCCTAATTTTAAGCTCACCAAAATCTTTTCCCTGAATACAGTCCCTGAAAATGTGCATCGATAGCTGTCTTTCTTGAGTTCCTTTTCTTTTTACCACCCAAACACTACATAGTTGTTTGTTTCTGGATGCTTTCCCTCACTAGATTGCAAGCTTCAAGAGAACAGGAATATTATTTATTCACTGCTGGATCCCAATACCTAGAATGTGACCAGCATATATTTGGTACTCCTTTAAGTTTTAATAGATAATAAAGGGATTACATGAACAGATGTCTGAAATCATAGGCACCCACATCAATGAAGAAGAATAAGTTTCTAACAGGAGGCAGAGGTCATCAAGTGCAGCAGATAACACTGCAAACATCAAAATCACTAGTACTGAAATGTGAGTATAATATCGGGGTAGGTAATTTCATTTTCTGAAGCATGTAGACCTCCTGTCCTTATTTGAAAGAGCCTAAGGCTCTAAAAAATTCCTGAAAAATATTACATAAGGATGCCTTCTGGTCTAAATTCCTAGGGTCTGGCTTCCCATGTGTTCAACATATCTGGTGCTTGTTCACTCACTTGAGTAAGCATGGACTGAGGGTTCCTTATCTAATATCCAGAGTTCTCCCTACTCCAACTTGAAGATCATGTTTGCTTTGACCATGCAGAGGCCTGTTAATGGGAACTGACACAGACATAGGCCAAGAAGTTTGAGCTTTAGGGTATCTCATGGAGAAGGAAGGTGTATCTTTATGAGTGGTACAAGGAAGGAGCCCATTTAAACTTTATATTTGGGGATGTGCGAACACACATTTTTTTTTCTGGAGCCCTAAACTGATCAGTCAGCTATAACCCTTAAATCTAAAACTAAAATATCACTAAACTGCAGTGGTAGCACATATAATAGTAACCACATGCTCCCAGGGATTACCCAGACACTTATCTTTACCTACAAATGCCAGGTGGCTGTAGTTCTCCAGCATCACATCCTTGTACATATTCCTCTGGGTAGTAGCCTCACAGGTAGTAGCCTGTGCCACTCCTGTCAGGTAAAATACACAGCCACATCTTGGAATGACCCAGATCCCTGTAATGACAGTCTGCAGTGATCAGAGCACAGTACATGAGGGAGATTGCATAGGAACTATTTTTCTCAGCGTAGCCCCATTGGGAGCTGAATGGAAAGAACTAAGCTGGATATTCTGTTCATATCTTACTTGATACTGTACTTTAGAGAGGAACCTTGAAAAGCTCTGGCACCATGTTAATTTACTAATTATTAGTCTGATGGTTGCACCCTGTAGTTAGGAGAAGGAGATGGAACAATCAGGGCCATCCTTGGCTATATAACAAGTTCCAGGTCAGCCTGGGCTACATGAAACCTTGTCTGAAACAAAACAAAACTAGACTACTAAGTTAGAACTATGTACCTGGACCTTCACAGATTTCTGGGGAAATGGAAATGAAAAACCACAAGATCTGCACTCAAGTAGCTCATGTGTGCAAGAGATGCTGGACACAAAGACAGAGACACTGGGCTTGCATAAAAGGGAGCTTCACATTCTACTTGCTGTTATCTAACTAGACCTCACTAGGGAAAACAGAGTTTTAAATCCTTACATGAGAATATTATGTCTGGGCTTGTGACACAGCTTAGTGGTAGAGTGTTCACCTTAGCATGTGCAAAGCTCTGAGTTTCATTCCTAGAACTGCAAAACAAAATTTAAAAAGGATTACCATCTAATTTTTGGGTACCTTCTATGCAGTCTCTTGCTAAATCCTATTCTCCCAACCTCTAGCAATCACAATTGTACATTCCGATTAACCTTTATAACATCCACATGTAAGAGACTATGTAGAATTTCTACATTTGGCTTATTTGCTTAATGTAATGTCCTTCAGTTCTACCCATTTTGCTGTAAATGACATGATATATTTCTTTTATGTCTCCTCAGCACTGTAGCTCTACAGCTAGCAGCTAGCAGTCTACTTCTCCTTTACAGTGTACCCTGTACCGGCTCAAAACAAAACAAAACAAAAGCAAACAAAAAAACCTAAATGTTTTGCAAACAGAAAATTCCTTTTATGGCTGAATAACATTCCAGTCTATATATACACAATATTTTCTCTTATCCATTCAACCACAGATGATCATTATACTCTATATACATGTATCATATTGTCACATAGTACTCTATATACATGTATCATATTGTCACATAGTACCAAGTAAGTTTGTACAAATAAAATAATAGTCCTATGATATGTAAGGTTCCAAGTTTAAGCCATAGTCCCACAAAAAAATACACAGAAAAAAGTATAAAGAAACAGATTGCTTTGTGGGTAAGGGCCTTTGCCACCAAACCTAATAAACTGAGTCTAATCCCTGGAACCCATATAGAAGAAGGAGAAAACCAATATCCACAGATTTTCCTCTTAATTGCCACACATGCACCATCACAACACAGACACACACACACACACACACACACACTTAATTTTTTAGGAAAATAAATGAGCTACCAAGTATGATAGCACACATTTGTTTTGCTAGCACTCAAAAAGCAGAGACAGAAGGATTCTGAGTTTGAGGCCAGTATGGATATACATAGTAAGTTTTAGGTCAGCTTGGTTTGTATAAAAAGACCCAGTGTCAAGAAAGCAAGGGAGGAAGGAAGGACAAAAGAAAGGAAAGAAAGAAAGAAAGAAAGAAAGAAAGAAAGAAAGAAAGAAAGAA